CAGTGGTGTTGTTGTATGTAAATTCTTTGAAGACTTCTATTTTTCTGGGGGCATTGGCGCAACATTTGTGAGACGTTCAACTTTCAACTTTTGTCCAGGAAGCAAATGTTGTTTGTATATTGGTTTCTTCTCTTCTAGGAGTGCAACAGTACGCACTTTGACATGAACGAAAGAATAGTTATCAGGGCGTATAAGTAACGAACGTGGGAAAATATGGAATACGCTACGCTGCTCATTGCTTTTGTTTTTGCTAACTTTCAGTTGTTTACTTTAATCTTTACTTTTTACTGTACCAGGAAAAATATTTAAAAATACGATACGTTAGACCATAAGACGGAAGTGTCAAATACGTGCGAAATTTAAAAAGTCAGTTTAACTGTCATGTACGTGCAGACTTAAGTGCGAAAGGAGATTTCAATTTTGGCAAAATTTCAGTAAATGCAGATTTATTAATTTAAAACTTGAAATAAATTTTCATTTAATTATAAATATGTAAAAAATAAATCAGTAAAATGAATAAATGAGAACGTATTTTTTTCAAATATTAATGAAGCAATATATAAGTCCGATATTTAATACAAAAAAATTGTAATTTCCTCTTATATTTTATATATTTTGTGGATGTACTTAGTGTTATTTAAAAAAAAATATGCAGCAGATCAATGGTATTGTGTTGCTATATATTTATTTAAAAAAACACAAAAAACACAATACTTTCGGTCACAAAACCAACTTCATACAACTCTGAATCTTTATAAGTGCGGTTCACTACTCTGACAATCTGACAATCTAAAGAACAATTCAAATTTGAAATTATATATTTCATAATAAATACATTAATTTCTATAGGTCTACTCGTCCTGTCATCGCTTATCTGTTTTCTTGTCTTAAAAGGGATATTACTTTAAATCGCGTTGATTTATGGCTCCGTCTGTTTGGAGTGGTTAGATTCTTTTACCTTGACCACCCTCTCTTCCCTAATCCATAACACACAATCCCTATCTATCCCCTTTTGATGTCCACACCAATCCTCACTCTACCTCCTAACCTACCCCCACCTATTAATCTTCTAATTCAATGATATTCATTGCTTTTATATTATAAAAATAACATTTCTTGTTAAGAATTCGTAAAATATTGATATAAGCATAATAATATTTTTTAATAGTATTTGTTGCTTTTTGGTAATGATCAAAATTTTTATATAAACTGCTGAATTCCTTAAATTTTTTAAATTGTTCAAAGCGTACTTATAGTTTAGCATTGCAATGACACACAGTTATTAAAGTTTACTAAAACAGAGTTTAAGTTTTTTATATTAAGTAAAAATAATGCTAGTTTGTTAAAAGAATATTTTTATGGTTGTGAAGACATTTTTACTACCTCATCTTAACGATATGCTAACAACAAAAAGAAATTGTTGCAAACAATTTAAACTACAGCAAAAAAATATGAGCACAGCTATAACAAAAGGACAAGACAACTTGTATATATAAACAGTATTATTCGTTCGGTCGGTCATAAAAACAAAAGTCATTTTGACCAGCAATAATAATGGTTGTACCAACACTGCAGTGCATCAGCGCTGCTACCCGAAAAGGCTAACGTCATTCCAGCCAATAATAATTCCAATTGCACTGCTGTGACAATTTCAACAATTATTACAACAAATGTGTGTGTATTACAAAATATTTTACGATTCTACAGAACAATGCACTATGCGGGAGTAACAATGGACATGTCAACCAGCCACTAACATTTCTAACTGTTAAAATCCCAAATTTTTCTGCGAAGCATACAAAATTAAATAAAAATAAAAAATTTATTTTCTTTGCTTGAGTTGCATTTTAAGTGCCAATGGCTTGGCTTGGCTTGGCTTGGTTTGGTTTGTTGCAGTTTTGTTTTATTTTTCAGGATTTTTATATGGCGCACGATGCACGTGATGATGGGTAATGATAATGCTACATGAGTTGACTCAGTTACTATTGGTGATACTGGAGACACTGGTGCAAGTGTGCACTTTTATAATTATCTTTTGGCGGAACATTATTTGGCCAATATAGACGACATGACTAAGTCATTAAAACCAACAAAAAGTCAACTCATAAAGAATCAAATTTAAGAAATCAAATGAAGCGTTTAAAATCAAAATTGTACTAAAAAAATGTTATCACTCTATATTTATTTAATAGAGCTTAATAAACCCATAAGATATTACAAAAATATTAATGCAAATTTCGTAAAGTAAAATTTGCTAATTAATATCAATTTGTTTATCAATTGTTTTTACAAAACGTCTTAGGAAAAAACTTTCCTCGAATCACGTAGCAAATTTTAATATAATTTATCATTTTAATGGCACTAAAAAACAACAATTAATTAACAAAGCTAATAACATTTTTATCGAATCACAGACAAAATTGCTATTGTGTGCTTGGTTTCTATAGATACAAATATAAAGAGATTAATACATTTTATTTATTCGGCATTTTGTCAAGTGATTATGTTGTTAATAAAATTAAACCATCGCAACGAAATGTAAAATTTTTTTTTAATTTTTATAAGATTTATATTTTATTAAAATTAAAATGATTTATTTAAAAATATAAGAAAATGGGAAAATAATGTAAAGGAAGATAATATAGTTGTATATCTATCTATATGTACACTACATTGAAATTAAAATTTTATTTTGTAGTGGAAAAAGCCATAAAACGCTGACTACAATTTGTGATATAATATTTTGAAAAGGTAGACCTCCTACTGGGCTTATGCGGTATCGTAACAGACAAGTTTAACACAAGTGTATCGGATTGTGGATATATAAAACTGATGAGAAAAGAAAGTTCTAAAGTAATTTACACTTAAAAACAAAAATGACGATTTTAAAATTTTTGACATTTAAGAACATTAGTAATAAAATTATAATAAAGAAAAATGTGTTTAAGAAATAATAGATATAATTTAGATTTTTATAGCAGATATTATATATATTGTTTTAAATTTTTTGAATTGTTACGACGAAAATATTCCTAATATTAGGAATTCTCCTGATGAAAACAAGAGCAAATTTGCCGAAATACGCGAAATACGTATAGAAATATACTGATAACAAAGATCGAAATAAAAGTTAAAATTCTGAAAAAACTTTAACGACTTTAACTTAAATTAATATTAAAAATATTTTTAATAAATTTTATATATGAATTTCTTTAATGTGTACTAAATGTTTATATATACTAAAGGAATATTATTTTGAAACGTTAAACTGTTTGAACTACATAATAAATAAAAAATATTAGGTTTATGTACAGATATATAAAGTTAAGCAAAAATTTTAATTGTCACACATTCATTTTGAATTTTTGCTGGTTAGAAAACACCCATAAACACATATACTCTCAGCATATGCACCTACTCAGCTACACTTCTTGCAAATATGCGTACTTGTTCCACTACAAACACATAAATTTGAACTTATTGATCCCATTGGAGGTGACGATTTCATCTCTTCAACTCAAACTAGTTTATTATTCTCTCCATTTACTCCTGCCCACTTTTGATTTCGTATATATATAAAAAATCAATACATTCTGATCCTATTGCAATCTGGGTATTCAATCTATTACAGTCAATTCACAATCCTACCTTATAAATTGTATAATTGGGTTACTATAACAATAATTGGTTACATGATCCTTAATAAAAAAAATTGAATATTTATATTTCTATAAGACGCTTCCTCTAAGATGCGAAATATGGATGCAATGGAAACAAATTAAACTAACCATTTGTGTAACTACTTTTAAATTAGTACAAGAAATCTGACAGGAATCTGCGCGTTGTTTTAACACCTCCCAAAACTGAAAATTTACATTAATGGAATTTAAAGAGTTTATGCAGAAGAAAATGTAATGTAAAAGAAATATATCTTATATTGAACGAAGAAATAAGACTCAATAAGGTAGGTTCCAGAGATACAGTTTTATCTCTAAAAGGGACACAATAGATTTTACGAACCGCTCACAATTATAATAATAATTATCTTGGTGGATTTGTTTATTTATATGGAATGTTATTTAATGAAATTATATTATTGTTATAGAAATATAAACAATATAACAATATGAAACTGCTTAACTTTCATCGGCGATCGTATATACTATACGATAGAGCCAAAAAGTAGTTAAAAAAGTAGTCTTTAGTAACTAAAACTAGTATAGATTTTCATTTAATCTATATAAGTAACATTTTAGCAAGTAGAGCTGCGATGTATGCAGGTAAAATATTAAAAAAGATATTTCCCATAAACTCAAATTATTATAATGAAATATACTTTGGCGAAACTGATTTAATTTTCAAAAGCTAATTAACTACTAAAATAAAATTGCAACAGCAATATAAAATGACAGCTAAAACTTGCAAATTCTTTTTCTAGAAAATTAAAACCAACCATACCATACTATTCTGCAGAAGGTAGTAGCACCATCATTTAATAATGCCGACTCCACTGTAGTGAGATGAAACTAATTACGTGCAGTGTTAGAGCGAAGTGAAAACTACGTTAAAGTGACAACTTTGTTTTGATGTGCGGGCATTACAAGTGATGTCCTTTATACATCTACTACCCACTATCCACTACCCACTACCCACTGTCCTTTTGCTTTTGCACTTCCCTACAAGTTTTCTTCGCATTTTTCTCTTAAGTTTTTTGCTATTGTTTTTGTTTTTGTTTTTGTTATTTCTTCTACGCTTCACAGACATTAGCACTTTTTGTTGCAACGTTTTAATATCAACATTAAGGTAATTAGTTTAACATTAGTTTGTAGTTTGTTTTAATGAACAAATTACAATTGCCAATGACAGCATAGCAGTAATGCGAAAATGTAATGGCAAATTTTCTCCAAAAGATTTTAGTATATAAATAAGTATTGTTGTGCTTCTCATGCTTAAATGTCATTTTAATTAAATTCAATTTTATTTTATTGACTAACACTTACCAGTTTTAAATGTTCCCATCAAACTATCAGAATCGGCACCATGGTAACAACCGTACATTGATTTACCAAGTAAATCTTCAGATTCGTAACCGAATAATTTTAGCATTCTACAAAAAAGAAAAAACAATTAATATTTTAAAGAAATTAATATTAAGTTCATATTAAATAAAACTAACTTGTCATCAACATAAGTAAATTTCATATCAAGTGAGTGTTTGGTCAAAAATGTAGTTGATCCAAGTGGTATTTCAATATTTGATGGATGTGGTATAGGGCGACCAATTGCAATAAGTACACGTTCACCTTTAGTATTCACAACCAAATGTCCAGTTATATGTATTACCTATATTAGATTTCAATAAAGGAAAGTGAATAAAATATTTTAAATTATATTATAATTTATTGTTTACCTTATACGATGCACTTTTAATATTAATACTACGACCTCTACTTGTAAGAGTGCATTTCAAACGTACAAAGAAATCACGATGATCAGTTGACAATCCTTCCTCTAACAAATTTTCATCTTTGATTTTGTCTAAAATTCCATTACGTTTTATATTAAGAGCTTCTTCCAGTTCGACATGATCGCATTGATGGCTATATTCCCAGATTTGTTGTCCTAATATATCAATCTGAAAGTACAAAATTCAATACAAAATTCATTATATTATGTTATTTACTTTTCAACAGAGACTAACCTTAGCAATGCCCAAATATTCAGTTATATTATCTGAAACATATGTGATATCACCATCGTTAGAGAGTATAATTAGAAATCCATCAAGAGTTTGCTTCAATAGTTGGGTAGCTTCAGCACATTTAAATAAATCAAATGTGGAGCCATTATTGTCTTCAGTTTCAGTTTCTACTTCTGTACAAATTGCATCAGTAGAGTCTTTTGCAACGTCAGTATCAGATTTAATGTAAGTCGTTAATTGTTGAATTTTGGGAACTATAAAATTTATATTATTCAAAATTATGTTTTATTTTATAAAATATTTACATAATAATTACATAAGTCTAGCATGCCCCGTATTTTCAAGTTTGCAATTGCAATACGCATAACAGAAGCCTTATCCAATTGAGTAATATCTTCTTTTTTTAACGGTAACACCAGAGCCAACTCACTAAAGATTTCAGTTTCACGTGAACGCCGAAAACGGGCCGCGTCACGAGATTTCTCCTTACGCTTCTCATTGTTCCTATAAAAAATATTTAAAAATAATTTATTAATATCAAAAAATATACTGCAAATTAGATGTTTTCTAAATTGGAAAAATAATTATAAATTTCGAAAATTATATACTATGTAGTTATAATTATTTCAAAATTGCAGCAGATATGATCAGAGTTAATAGATATGACTAGCAACTAAAAAACCTGATTTCCTCTTTGTTCTAGAATAGGTAAGACAACTGACAGACAATGAATTGAATTCTTACAGTACGTCAAAGTACAATATTAAAAATATAGAATTAGAATTTTTTTTAATATCTTTCATGCGAACAGAAGCCACTCCAACTTTAACTCAATAACGGCATTCGAGAATCGAAGGACGCAAAAGGACCCAAGTAGTTTCGTGATCTACTTCGGCTAATCCTTCATTTCAGTGGGGCCACTTGTTGGACGGTGCGCTGTCCCAACGTCTCACAATATAAAAAAAACATAAATATATCTACAAACCAGTCTAGTTTGTAAAAGGAACATTTTCAATACTTAAATAAATGTAGTCTTAGTAAACGAAGTAAAGAAGTTCTCCGGTCTTTTTTAAATAATAACATCTCTTTATTTTAAAAACACTACAAATTATCAGTAAATATAAATCAAGCACTATTTCTGAAATTATACTTAAAATTATAAGTATAAAGATATTTAAATGATTGATTAATATTAAAAGTTTGGTGTAAGAATGACACACATATATATATAGTCTATCCTAGATTAGGTTAGGTTATACCGGCGATCCTTAGTGGGTCCTCTTAAACCTATTAGCCCAGTGTTACCTCAAATATTTAGGAAAAGTCAGGATTTTAAACCACCTAGAATCTTTGGCGAAGCATAAAATGCTATTTAATGTCCGGTCCAGTAATTGGTCAAGATACTCAAGAAAGGGGGCTTCTAAAGTATTGAGTCGCCGCCGTGCATGAGCTGGGCAAAAACATAGTAGATGACAGGCACTCTTATCATCTTCCCCACAGCTGCCACAGCTAAACCTACCAAAAGACTGATATATCTACGGGGTATCTCAATGGGAATTTTGGATTTCTTTTTATCGGAACATGGCCAGATTGCATACTAGGGCCATACAAATTGTTACGGTAATTATATTTATGTGTAAAAAAAGTAGATTGAAAGATAAGCGAATGCTATATAGTTTATCTAATTATGGTCAAAATATAAACGAAGTTGCTTAATAATTTAATATGACTTGCTATTTTATGTACATCGAATATTATATTCTAATTAAATAAGAAAAATATGCAGCTGAAACAGAAGAAATTCGAATAAAGGTACGTGCATAGGTTTTCGTTGTTTGCTCGATTCCTTGACGATCATGTGGAGCTTAAAACCATTACTGCCAATAAAAACCCTGTTAAAAAATATCAAAAACTAATCTATCAATAAATTATTTACGCTAAAAGAGAAAAGTACTTTACCAGAAGTGCAAAACTAGAATAATTCTGTTCGTTTTATTTGGTTTAAGAGTATTGTGCACAGTGAAATCATCCCAGAAGTTAACACTGTGAACATATTATCTGAAAATTATATGTAGGATTGTAGGACAGAGTTCGACGAGATCCATCAGAATATTGAAAACCAGAACAGGTTTTTATTGCATAAAATTAAAATAAATGTTGTGGATTTTACTAGTCTCCTAAGGTCTGGAACAGACTGTATATTATTAATATTAATACAATCGTGTGATGAATATTGAAAAATACAAATAATAAATACAAATACAAATAATACTATTTATTGATGGATAAAAGGAACTCCTTGAACTCACTTAGCTTTTATAAGTGAATATGTTTAACATATTATACTCGAGGATAATAATGTACTCGATTGAATAGTCAGTGTATTATATTTTCATTCCACTGTTCCTCTATTTATATTTTACACAAAGGGTTCAATATTTTTAACTAACCTTATATATAAATCTTTTAATTTATTAATATTTTAAATAAAATTATTAAATAAATTACATATATTCATATGTAAATCAGAGAAAGTGCGAATTTTCGCATTTGCGTCACAGTTTAAATCACGTCCACAAATCGTGTTTATTGATGTAAAAACGAATGCTTCAATGACAAGTCACCGACGAAAATCTGAGGTCCAACAAACATTAAAGAGAATAAATTAATATACATCTAGACAATTTTTTTACTTGTATATGAAAATTAATCAATTAGGAACCATGAAAAAAAGTAACTCTTACGGGTATTTTACTGACTATAACTTGTTGGGTCATTGTTTAGGGTAACGGGTGCCATTGAATGTCTACATACAAGTGTATTTGGTTTTATAATTTGTATATAAAGCGTGAATACGTCCACAGCATGCCAAATTCGAATAATTCCCAACACACATGCTCGCAAAAACGCAAATTATTATTTATTTTTCTTTTATTTATACTCATTTAAATTCAAATAGGGTAATTTTTCAATTCATCACGTTTGTGATGGCTTGGTTTTCAGAGGGGAACGCTTTTACGTTGTTATCGTACTGGAACGTGAAAAGCAAATGCTTCCAATACGTCAACACCAAAACAATTAAACTTTTATTCCTAACTTAATAAAATCTAATGAAGCTTATTTAAATATTTTATTGAAATCTAAAAGTAGAATGTTCAAGAACTTAATTCAATCTCTAAAAGATCAAAATAAACTTTCTACACTCAATTCAATAATAAGACTTATTATCAATACTACAACTACAAATACCAACTACATTTATCCAAACTTATGGAATAACTAAAGAGATCTCTCAAAAGTGTAGAATCTTTACATTCGGAATAGATTTCAGTATTTTGATAAAGAAGAACTCACGGATAGTTTAACAAGTACAACATTTTGTAATATGTAGCGACTCCGATATAGAATCAAATATCGCTCACAACTACCACCGGAATTCAACAATTTGCTCAACTCCAGGGTAATTATATGGCCCATAGTATTTGAAATATAAAAAATATATTGTAAATATTAGATATATGAACTCAATTCAAAATATATTATTAACCATAATTTATTATATTCGTATATAAATTTTATTAGTTAAGTTATTATAATAAATTTTGAATAATTTAACAGCAAAGCTAGTATGACAATACTATTAATTTTTTTTTTTTAACTTATTTATTTATATATTATAAAAAATTAAATTAAATAACAAAAAAATAATATTTAACAAATCATTGAAATAATTGATTTGGCTTGAAGATTGGACACACACGAACCGAACACTGCGATGTGATTAATGAACTTGTGCTATTTTCGGTTTTTTGCAACACGTGGCGTAAGTTCCCCTTTTCTTCTCAGGATGACTGTATTTCAGGGACCGAAAATAACAGTTATTTTAAAATTTTTTATGAAAAAAAGCAGCAACAAAAAGTTGTCTAAACTCTTATTTAAGTAAATAGTTATCATTCTAACAACTTTTATCCTTAATATTATGCATGCTTTTTATATTTGTGCTTTTTAAAATAAAACTCAAAAAATAATAATTATTATATGCCTTTTATTTTTTTCGCGCAGCAATAACTCTTAAAATTTGCTTCTTATTTTAAAACGCACAAATAACTGGTATACTTGCGTTATATAATATAAAAAGCAAGAGTTATTTTTAAAATGAAAATATAAAATGCAATTTTCATACAAGGTAGTTGTTTTTGCAATTCCATAGAAAATGTTTGAAAAGGTTGGTGTAGGTAAAGATTTAGTTCAGTTTTTTGTTTTTGTATTTTACATACAAATTTGTTCTCCTACAAAATACGAATGTAAATACAAAATATAAATGCAAAATACAAAAACAAAAAAACTGAACTAAATCTTTACCTGCACCAACCTTTTCAAACATTTTCTATGGAATTGCAAAAACTACCTTGTATGAAAATTGCATTTTATATTTTCATTTTAAAAATATCGCGCAGAATTTGCGCGATACTCTTGCTTTTTATATTATATAACGCAAGTATACCAGTTATTTGTGCGTTTTAAAATAAGAAGCAAATTTTAAGAGTTATTGCTGCGCGAAAAAAATAAAAGGCATATAATAATTATTATTTTTTGAGTTTTATTTTAAAATGCATATGATAACAGTTATAAGATGATTTTTATTTTTTTTATGATAACTGTTACGGTCCCTGCTGTATTTTGATAAATATTTATAGCAGCTTTTGGTCTGTAAGATAACAGCCCGAACTATATATATCCTAATATAGTGAATCTTTCTATATACTTAATAATTAATCTTGCATAACAATATTGCTAAACTATTATATTGATCTGTCAATTCATTACCATTTTAAGTCGATAAGTCAATGTATATTTTAACAATGGAAAAAATCAAACATCATTCAGTGATAAAATTCTTAACAGAAAAAATTATTTAAAAAGCAATGGAAATTCATAACGAAATTATGAAAATATTAGTTAAAATTTGTCCTTCAAAAATTTCAATTATTTATAAGCGGGGTTTGAAATAGATCGTAGAGGATTCGAAGATCATTGATTAACGAAAAGTAGAAACTCTAGACATTTTATATATCATGATGAGCGATATTTTATATCAAGTTTTGGATTTCAAAAATAAAAATAATTTATGGCCACTTTATCACGATATTTGAGAATCGAGTCTACTAACATGATCGTGAATGAACATAACAATCTAAGGAATGAAGTGCACTTGGCTCTTGGATTCTGAGTATTCGAGCTCGTATTCCAAAATCAACCAAAAAGGTATTAGTATCAGTTTATTGGAATGGAATTTTGTTTTTACATTAGTCTTACTCAACTGAATAAAGAATAAAGAATTAAATCTATTTATTGCTGGAATCTATTAAACCAATTGTAATTTTTATAAAAAAGATCTGGTTTACAGAAGAAACAAATCATTTTTCATTAAAGCAATAGTAAATTATAATTTTATATATTAAATCTTATATATCTACATGTCCATATATATATGTTAGTCAGTA